CAAGAAACAGGCTTGATGACCTAAATCGGAGGTGTGGCGGCATTTTGACTTTCCGTAGACTAATAATAATCACCACCGTGAGAAGCACCAGTCACCTCCGTTTTCATGTAAAAGTCAATAATACGACAATTGCGAGAGCCACGGAGATCACAAGGTGCATCAGTGTTTCCGTGGCAACCAGGTGTTGTATTTATTTTACTATCTCTTTCTCTAAATGTGTTTTTTTAACTCTTACTAGTGTAATGATACAAATTATAACAAAATTAGAATCTTGCCTTTATTAATGTAAAACCCCTGTCAATCTGGTACTAATTTGACAGTCTTTTAGGCCATCCTTAAAAATATTCTTGTTTGCCGTAACCCGACCGACCCTGTCAATTTAGGACCGACCCAATTTTTTATTTTTTTTCCCTTTTAGTCCGACCGACTTGCCGGTTGTAAACTTGCATTAAGACCGACCGATATTTTTTTTTCTCTTCAAACAACTAATACAAATGCAATAAAATATAAATTATATTATAGTAAGTATTGTGAATATAAATTGCATAGGCTACGTTCTTTCTTTTAAATAAAAACCCGTGGCGTCATCTATTATGATTATGTTTACACCATTGGTTTACGCATGTCACACTATGTCTGTGCGTTCGCTTCGTTTCATTCACGGTCAATGGTTCGCGCTCGCGGCTGCTTGTGAAATACGTCTGTATGAGCCTACATTTAGGCGCTCATTATTCGAAATTCTTAATGGTCAAATAGGGAATAGATGTTAACGGCCTTTTCTCGGAGCGCGTCCAGCTCCTCACGATATGGCCGCCGCGAACGCGCGTCACACAGCAACGGCAGGCTCTGACAAACACACATAAGTATGGGAAGCCAAACACACCAAAAGTGGGACGAAACGGACATGTAATCTGTGCGGCTCAATGGACCGAGACGCGCGAGCGCGACAGACTCGATAGCCCAGGGAGGAAGTGTTTGCTTGCGCGACCTAATCTCACCACCAGCGCCGCGCTGACCAATAAAACAGCACATCCCATACCGAAATGTACTAAATTACACTAAAGAAAATCGACCATTCCATAATATGTCAGGACTACTTAATATAGTTTCTACAATGCGCCTAGCCATTTGACCTCACTGATTTCCGTTAATAATAGCAGATGTTTATGGGTCCAATTTAAACGAATAGTGCCAAATGCGCTGTTTTATTGGTCGGCGCGGCGCTGGTGAGATTAGTCATTTTAATTTATTTGTTTCCCTCTGAAAATCCACTCTTTTTCCCCAAATGAATGCAGCTGGAATTAATGCAATAAACATGTTTTTTGACAAAGATTTCAAATTGTTTGTTGTCTAACCTGTATCAGAATGAGATTCGCAATGGTGCGCCCAAAGGCATAGGTTGAAGACACAGTCAGTGGCGTCACGATATGCAAATTTGTTTAAATTCATACCGACGTAAACACCATGACCAAAATTGTCTTTTTTTTTTCGTTGAATTTTGAAAAAAAATATATAGACCTACCTACCGACCCTTTTTTTTTTTTTTTTTTGCTGTTACTGCAAACCAAAATATTTTTAAGGATGGCCTTACATAGTGTGCGAAGGTACCAGTGTCCAGCCTCTTGACCAAACAGACAGAAAGACTGAGTTGAAACAACCTTGAAGGGAATTTTTTTAATGTAGTTTTATTATTTGACAAATATATTTTAAATTAAAAAGAAATGTGCAGCATTTTTTTTTTGAGAAATAATAAAAGGGACACTTTTGTCTTAAATCTCATTTGTTAAAAAAATCGTGAGAAAATCGTATCGTGAAACCAGTATCGTGAATCGTATCGCATCGTGAGATGAGTGAATCGTTACATCCCTATGAGCTATATAACATTGATTTGTTTTATGTACATTTGCACACCTGTCTAATAAAGTACATGCAAGAGCAGCTTCCCTGTTAAGTCGTGACAAGTGAAGCTCTGTCAAGTCCATGTTAGTCGCGGACGTGGAGCTCTTGGCATCTCGAAAACGCCACACTGATATTGATTTATTTTATTTCTCCTTTTGTCCCAAAGTCTGCTTGCCATGGTCCATAATGTTTGAGCGAAACAACAACAGCGTACCGCTAGACGTTACGCACTACGCAGTTGTCCACGTCTGTCGCCATGGTTACTATGGCAGTACAAGCGGAAACCAGGGATAACGCGGATATTACGTCATTGACAGGCGACAAGTGAACAGGGACGGGCACTTTTTAAAATTGTGAATTACTCTGAATTTACAAATTCTTGGAAACATTTCGGATAATTGAAGTACACAATTGAAAGAAATATATAACACTGTGCAAGTGGTTCTTGGATATTTTGATACAAAATTCTTACATAGTGTACCTTTAAGTATATGGTAGGATCACACCAGAAGCAAGTTTGTCCACATAACACGAACATAACTGATACATACCTGTCAGTGACTGTGGACCGTGTGTCACTCATTGGGCTTTTGTTTTTAGCTGTTATTCGTCCTATATCCTATAGTCATTTTCAGATGCATCAGGAGAAGCATCGGTTTCTGATGTTGCATGAGGCTGTTGCATCCGTATTCTGTTGTGTTGACCAGGAGGTTCTCTAATTAGAAAAAACAGAAAATGTATTATAAAATATTCCATGCAGTTCACCAAAACCGCAATTCAATCCAAATGATTCCAGGCAATCATATTCAAAACACACCCAAAAGTCCATACACTTATGACATTATATGATAGACAACATAAGATCATGTAATACGTTTAAAAAAAAATAAAGCAAAAAATCAGCACATAAAGCATTTATGCATGATATTTTCCAACACCAAATAACTATTAAGTAACTCAAATAACATTTGGTTCATCCAGAGGTGGTGCTGTTTACAAATAAACAAAAAAAACGGTTTATAAAAACAACAATATTAACTCTAACGTTACATCTAATATACTAGAAACATACAAAATATGTTCTATATATACAAACCATATTATCTTGTTAGGTTTTACAGTAGGCTATGGCAAGTTAGGAGGCTTGTACAGATCAGCTCAATAATTTAACCAAAATAACTCTCGGAATTGGTAATTTTTCGTTATTGTACAGCTGTAAATTTAACGTTACCTTCGTATTCAGCAGCAGCTCCCAGGTGAAGTCGAAACACTTCCTACTGCTCGAAGTAACACTGCTTTGGAAATTAAAACACTTTTGAGTGTCCAAATGCTGAACGTGAGTGTGTGTATGTTTGTCCACAGCCAACACAACAGCAGTTTGATACTCGTACTGCAAAACGAGACTGCAGACAAGGCCTTTGCTATGCTAAAGCTAACAGCAGCCTAATAACGTCCACTCCAAAACGCGCTATTTTCCCAACAACAATAACAAACAGCCGGGGGGCATCCACACCGATCCCACAGTCATCCAGACAGGGAAAAATGCACGCGCTCATACACGTGTCACTCGCGGAGAGTTTTCTATGGAGCGGCGACGAAATCACTTCAGCATAAAAATAAACAAAACCACTCGATAAAGTTCGCATGGGTATCCCCGCATGCTTTTAGAAATGATACCGAGCTCGTATGAAAGCAATGGTCCACGTTAAAAATCAGTTAGAGGTTGTAGGTTCCGATCCACCAAACTGGGGAAAGTTGAGATGTGCTGCTGCCGTGTCTCCTCCCGCGGGGCTGTGTCTCAAACCCTAGTGAGAGTGAGCCTGCATGGACAGCATTTCCGATTCAACCGAGCACACGCGCGCTCACTCTGCTGAGCTGAGTCGGAACGTACACAAAACTGTTGTATAGGCTACAAGTAGTCAGGCTCACTAGATTTTGAGAAACAGTCAGTGTTATGAGAGTGATGATGGTGATTCAAAGTTGCTTCTTCGCGGAGATTCAATCAAACTCGAATTAAATGCTTAAAAAAGAAGAGAGTCTGTGAAAGATAAATTACTTATAGTTTTAGATGGCTTTGAGTGTAGACGGTTTTGTATTTTGTTCATAGACGCAAACGTACATATTTTGAATGGAACATTTGTGTGTGACTCGGACAAGGCGTTCACTTTTCGTCCATTTTCCGTGATATTATGGGTTTTTAGGAAAGGTCTTGAATTTTTTTATTTACAGCTGGCTAAATGAGTTTATTATTCCGTTGGAAAATGTGAGCCCGTCACTGGTTAAATTAAATTAACTTCAAGCCCAAGAGTGCGGAATTCTTCAACTATTATGTTACTTTGCCACATGGTGGACGTTCGCAAAATTGCAACGCGTTATGGACACTTTACTTAGCTAGGCTACTTGAGTTGGACCTTTTACATGCATTATGGATTTTGTTTAGTAATTACTCTATGTAAGATATCATAATAAAAAGAAGAAGACACTGTTTAAAATACACGTAAATGCACTCATTTTCCCTAAAAAATTAAGTCATGAATCTCAAGATGATTTCTTAAGAGTTGCTAAGATTTCTGCCTAAACAAACAAAAATCACTTTAATTTTAATAAAAAAGGTTAAAAAATAATATTAATATTATAAAACTAAACTGCTTTACAAAATAAATAATAAAACATCATGTCAAATCACTTAGGCCAACATTTATTTTTTCCAAAAACCTAAGTATTTTAATTAATAGACTTTTTTTCATTTTACAATCTCTAGGCAGTGAAACCACCTAGGCATTTTTGTCATTAAACCCCATGAATATCTTAATGATTTTTAAATTCAGAATTAATGAATTTCTGTATTTTTCAAGTTAGGCTAGTAGATCTGCACAACAAGAAATGTCTTGTCGGTCAGAATTACGATTCTTGCCACTAAGGTCTATTAGTTACAGTGCTAAAACTATCCACCAATCTGAACTTCTGTATCTATGAAACAATTACACACGATTAAAGAATAATTTAAGGCACGCAATGTGAACGTAGCCTTAGTTATGATGTTCAATCTGACATGTGGAATGAGACAACACCCAAAATACATTAATAACTATGGCAAAGATGATGATGATGATGTTTATTGATTTTATCAACTGGTGTAATCAATTCACCATTCGTCATCACTCAACTTCACAATTTGAAAATGGTTACATTTCAATAACAAGACTTTTTGGATTTACTTTTACATTCGAAGTCATTAATCACACACAAAGCATTCAGTAATCTTCCAGAAACAATTAGTAGACTTTCATGATCATTTCTGAACATTGCACATACTAAAAGTTTAATGGGAAAGAATGTGCATTACTAATTCAAATGTATCACAAGTAGTTCCTAATTACAAAAATATCAAATATTTCCAGTACTTAACAGTTTAAACACTTAATTCCTTATGAGTACAAATATATCACATTAGATTTGATTGTAAGAATTTTTTTGTTAATCATAATGGTAAATAAAAAACTTTTAAGGGCTCTGATACAGCATGGGTTTTCCCATGTGTAGTATATTACCAGCCAGAAGTGAACTTTAATGGCTGATATCCTTTTTAAAAAATATGTAAACATCTATTAGAGGCAGAGATTTATTAGCTGTAACGCTGATTCTCATTCTTCTCTCCAGTGTTAGAAACAAGAGGCCAATCTACTGGCTGCATCTAAGAGATCTTTCAGTCTCTCTTCATGTCCTGCCCGTTGACCTCTGCCATCCTGTGACGATTCATCCAGTGCTGGTATTTGACCAGGGATTTGCGGTATGCGAAAGGCCCGATGTCAGCCATGAACACCCAGGACAGCGCATACATGGCCACGCCGCCACACTTAATGATGAACTTAGGTTTCGGAGAGATCAGCTCACAGTACAGCATGTTGCCGCCGACAAAAATGCGCATGAATACAAACAGCAGAACGAACAGAACGTCCACCACGTCTCCCAGTAAGCTGTTGTAGCGGCCAGAGTGTTTCAAGAACCAACGCGTCTGGAGGAGGGGGTTCGTGATCTCGCTGCCAAACAGCACGGCACAAGCCTCGACGCCCGACTCGCCCAACCAGAGAGTGAGCAGAATACCCAGGATGCTCATGGTGTGGTGAGCGAGCATCACCAGGCCCTCGGTGCGGAAGTACACACACCAGGCCATGTCAAAGATAAAGTAGCCCAGACTGACCACCATAGCGGTGATCTGCAGAGCGGTGTTCTTTGTACCTGCAGATGATATATAGGAAAATATGAGAATTTGCAATGAAAAAAAGACAATACGGCAATGCTAATAAAAAACATAGTATATTAGGGGTGTGCGATATGTTTTTTCTATACTAATATCGTAATTGTTGTTTTAACAATGTGCCAGCTAACATTATCGAGTATTTCACACTTCAATCAAACAAAACAAGCCGAATATCAGCTCGACTGCAAATGTGATATTAAATGTATTTAATAATTCAATAAACAAAATGCTAATATTAAGTGAGTCACATTTTATACACAATATTGCCTGTTATTGTCTGTCACAGCAGAACTGCTGCGCATCTCCGAGCTATTTTGTTACTGAATCTGTGTTTTTGAACAAATCGGTTGAGTAAATGATTCAATGACCCATTCATTAACAGTTACTTGCTTTGTTTTGTAATGAATCAGCCATTTGAACGAATCGGTTGACTGAATGATTCAATGGCTCACTCATTAAGAACGAATATACCTACTTCCCTAGTCGAAAAACAGTATGTGAAAAGAAGAATAGTATGTCCAAATTCAACAGTAGGTGCAAAGTAACTGGATGACTGACATTATTTTTTTTTTTTTAATAAGGTAATCTTTAATCAAAATAACTTCCCCTCCCTTTTGCAGTGACATCTCTTCTCTTCTCTGATGATGTGTTTACTGGCGTGAGGGCGGGACAACCTGTCACTCACATGAGATCAACCAATAGCAAACCACAACCATCCAATCAATTCCCCATGGACAAATTAAGTCCTGCCCTACATTTTTTCTTGTTCGATAAGCTGTTTCACTCGGATATACATCACAATAGGGAAGAAGAAAAGATCTTCGCTACTTCCGTTTCATGCCGACTTTAACGGTCGAAAAGTAAGTTCTTCATCAAATTCTGTATCTATTTAGTATGCGATTTCAGACGCAGCGAGTGACTTGCAGCACCTATTGATGGTGTTAGTGTCATACTTAAAGTATAATTCGTTTAACCATATATTTTAATATTCAAAATGATTTATACAATTGTAATTGCAGTATAAATGCATTTATGCCACATCTGAGCTGCATTAAACAGCCGAGCACACCCCTATTAAATAAACATTAACATTTGGTACATCTTGCCTGGGTTGGTGAAAGGCCACGGTCCATCTATGTATCCAATGTAAGCAGTTATACAGACTGCAAGGATGCCATGGAATAGTGTAACTAGCCGACAGTTCCATTCATAGCCACAAGTGCCATTTGCATAGCACAGCAAAGCATAAAGAGCAATCCACCCAGCTAAGCACACTCCGACAGCCAGCATCAACGGCGACATCTTTATTCTGTGAACCTAATCAAATACAATGAGCTGTCACATTCAGAAAACACTTTATCATGTTAGATTGGATGCATGCATTCATGAAAGTACTTACTTGAAGCACCACAACGCTTAAGTGACTGTTTAAAAATGGCACTTTCCCTTTGATTCTGATGTGGAATAAGCGCTAAAACCACTCGAGTATGTCTGAAGGGGTATCAGTGGATTTCACATTAACAGTTGAGAAATACTAGAGTTTGGCTTGTATCTGGGTGTGTCAAAACTAGACCAAAAGTAACTGTGGCAACCTTATCCACAGCTCTTTATCCAATTGTTGTCCAAACCTCGGATGTGAAGCAGTTGAACTATGTCAATATTAAGTTATTTTATCAGGATATTGATAAGTATGTATAGGTTTGAGAAATGAGAAAGCCCCGTCTTAAGCCCTGTTTCCACCAAGAATGGTAACTATAAAGATAACTATAATAACAATAACTATGTTAGCATCCCCACCAATGCACGATAACGTTTCGTTTCATCTAAGTGAACTGCAGTTTTGTCGTCTGCCACTTTAAAAGTCTCAAGTTCTTTAAAGCAGGATGGATTCTGATTGGCAGTCAATGTTTTATCTTCATCAACTGGGGGGAAAAAAATAAAAAATTTGAAAGTGATTCCAATGATATCGTTTCTCTATGCTGTAATCGTTAGTTGTGGTGTGGATTCTTTATATATTTAGAACAATTTTTAGAACTATATCTTTATCGTTATAGTTATCATCATTGATGTGAACAAGCCATTATAAATAAAAAATACAATAAAAAAATACAATAAAAATAATTAAAAATAAATGTATTAATTGCTCCTTTTCATTTAATCATATTAGCTGGTTTATTTTAGTGAATCAAAAACATAAAAATAGATAAATCAAATATATGTGGTTAACACTATTTTCATGTGCCCTTGCTACACGTTACATGTATTTTACTATAGTAATAACTATGGCATAATTACATGCAACCTACCCTAACCCTATAGTAAGTACATGTAGTTAATTGTTATTATTGTACTTAAATGTATAATTACACTGTAACAGGGACACATTAAAATAAAGTGTTACCAATTTTGTGTTTATTATTTTTTATATGATAATTAGCAATAATTATTACATTGCATTAATACCGCTTCTAAATAAAAAAGTAAAATAAGATGTATTTCTGATTTCTTGTAGGGGGAGACCAGGGATGGTAGTAACAGGTTTTGTTTGAGCATCAGTAACAGGTTATGGTTGTTGTTTGTGCTAGATCTCTCAAAATTGGATACATGGTAGCCATATTTGTCTAATACAAATACAACTCACTTGGACGTGTACTACACAATCACAGATTATGTGAGTTAAAGGTCAAACACAAAGAGTTCCATTGTTAAAACCTTCCCCACTACTGGGGTGATTTGTAACACAGGCTGTGAATAGATGTAACAATGAGAGATGATTTGCTGAAATAGTATGCACATAATCTAAATTAATGCAAGAATGTTATTGAAGAACAAAGAATAATCACTTTTGAATAAAGTTGGAATACAAAAAACATATTGTATTTCTTTTGGACTATTTACCACAAAAACAACTGCTGTGTGTGTTCATTCATGTCTGTACTGTATTCCTGTCACATTCAGTCACTGGCTATGCTGCCATCCACTTTTGCGATATCACATAAAAACTGCTGGATTGAAATGCTAAAATGAGCATAAATTCAAAAAAAACGTGCACAAAAAAAACATGCACTCAATTGAGGCGGATAATGTATAATCTGATAATCTGAAAAGAAGACATGCGCATATACAATGAAAACATATTTATCACATAAATCTCTTGATGCGCAACAAAAAAACTCACGTGACTTTGCCTTAACAGAGGATGTGATTGATACCTGGACTCCTGATGGATTGATACATGATGGACACTTGGAATCATCATAAGGAGTTGTAACATGGCTAATTTAGGCTAAGGCAATTTTTTTTTTTTTTACTTTTCTTCCTGAAAATCTGTTTTTTTGGTAATAAAATCTACAGTGTTGCTCACAGTCACATGCCACTTCTCCTGTGAGCTCGAAAAGGTGACGTGAGTGAGTGTATGATATTGATGTCATCACCACAGATCTTTTCTAACTTGTCAAACTGACAGTGTTACAACTGACCCCATGTTACAACACTACCCAGTCTCCCCTATTTGTTGTGTGTTGAAATATAAAATTATCTGACCATTACCATTTAGCAACAAACTTTTCTTATTTCCAAATGTTTTCCTCAAACGTATTAGAAGAATCGTTAACAGAATAGTTAAATTCAGCACTATTCCCAACCCTAGAGTTATGGTACCAAAAAGTCAGTTCAATAAATGGAAATTTCCAATGTAATTGCACTTTTCAAATGTAAAATAAATGAATTAATAAATAAAGTTAATAAATATAAGAGTAAATTGGAATAATCATCACAAAGAGATCTTAAAGAGACAGTTCACCCAAAAATGAAAATTCTGTCATCATTTACTCACCCTCAAGTGGTTCCAAACCTGTATGAATGTCTTTGTTCTGAACACAAATTAAGATATTTAGAAGAACGTTTGTAACCAAACAGTTGTTGGGCCCTATTGACTTCCATAGTATTTTTTTCCCATACTATGGAAGTCAATGGTGCCCCACAACTGTTTGGTTACCCATATTCTTCAAAATATCTTCTTTTGTTTACAGCAGAAGAAAGAAACTCAAACAGGTTGAGGGTGAGTATGATGACAGAATTTTCATTTTTGAGTGAACTATCCCTTTAAGATTCTTTACTCGCAGTAGATACTGATGGACCCAGTATTAAGCTAATCTTCTGAGCTGTGGGTCGGATGAGGTTAATTAAATTAAGAGCAGGTTAAACGTGTAGCCATGAAATTAAATATGTTCTTAAAACAGGAAAAAGGTAAAACAACCTCTTAAAATAGTCACCTCAATAGCATGTTCATTGACAGGCCGGACAGTTATTGAGTGCTCAGCATGGATGCTGTCTTCCTCCGTGCCTCCCGCTTCAGCATCACGTACAGAAGAGCAGCAGCGGACTCGACACGAGGCATTGAGGGATCTCAGTGTTCAGCTCCGGCATCGTCTTCATGGAGATGGTACGCAGATCACCACACAAACAAAAGGCACATTTCAGCCACCCAGTCACTCAGCGACTGGACAACAGCGAGGATGACAACAAAGAGTAAGGCACATCCCTACAGCAGGGCGACCTCTGTTGGTATGGAACGCGAAGAGAGAGAAAAGCGTCCCTCACAACAACCACAGCCCTTGACGACGGAATCCTTGTTTGTTGTCAACATTTCACACTGGATGACGAAATAATAGTGTTTTGTGCCGAACGGAGGGGAAAAACTGAAAGAAACTTCACTTCTGACAGTACTGCTGGCCAACAACCCGAATCAGCCAAACGCCGTCGCGTACAGAAGAGCCCGTAGAAAAACAGCATTCGCTGCTGATACCAAATTTCCAGTTTGGTTATTATAAAATAATAACAATGACTGTAGTGGAACATATTTAAGTATTTTGTCGGTAAACTACATGGTTAATTTTAGCTTAAAGGGATAGTTCACCCAAAAATAAATTGCTGTCATTTACTCACCCACCCTTAAGCTTTTCTAAATCTGCATTATGGTTACAATTATGGTTGAACATAAAGGACAATATAACCCCCTACAGGTTTAGAACAAACCTTGTTTGTGACAAGTAAATTATGACAGAATTTTCATTTTTGGGTGAACTATTCCTTTAAAATATTAGAGGCCCTCAGTTTTTCATTTTCAAAGAGACTACAAAATCTCTTAAAACTATTTATAATAAATTACATTGTATATAAATAATTTAACAATGCTAAATCTGCAAAAACAAACATAAAAAAAATATACAGCTAATATAAGGCTATGCAACCATTGATCATATAGGCTACATATTATCATTATACAGATCAGTGAGTGCAACTCATAACAAGTGCATCATTCTAACTCTAAATCAGGAAATATGCTGAGCTCGAAGTAAAACAAAACAAAACTAACAAATTATCTTAAGAAAATATATCAGTGATAGCCCATTTACTTTTTTCCTTTTAAAAGCTGTAGGCTAGTTGACCAGAGTGAGTAGCAAGTTATAAAGACAGTCCATCTGTGGAATCGGCAAAACAGCTGTTACAATTTTTGTCTCTCTCTTTCCTTAAAAAAAGGTTGAAAACAATTGTTTTAATCTATATGGCATCTGCTTTCATTGTGTCAGTGATTAATTAACACTTTATTCAATAACACCATCTCATTAAATAATACGTCGGCGTCACATGATCCTTCAGAAATCAAAGCATGTTGCAGTCAACTCAAACAACAGTAGGAAAGTGACAGGTTATATGACACTTTGCTGAAGGAGCTTTTATTTAAAATTACTTCATATTATGTCCATATTCATTTTCATAAGAAAATAGTTTTGATACTTTATTCATAACAGCATTATCATCAAAAAGAATCAGTAAACACTGAATCAACAAGGCACTTGTATCCCAGACAATAGCTGTCGGTTGGGGAGGTGTAATCTCAAACAACACTTTTAACATACCACTAACTCTTTGAAAAAACAAAAAAATTAAATAAACCAGTATAAACATTTTAGTACCATGAACTACAACAGAGTCAAATGTGCATGTTAAAAGTGAACATTCGCATAGTTAAGAGAGGCAAGTCGTGAGTTGGAGGTGAATGTAGTGAAATGTGAAACAATAACAGTTTCTCTTCTTCATGATTAGAGCTTAGTCAGTGGATTTGGTCCTATTGTATGTTGAAGTCACTTCTGAAGCGGAGTAATCTTCTAGGACATTTGATACCACGCAAAAGGATGTGAAACCATATGGTTTCACAGCTCTGCCGATGTACTGAGGTCATACTGATAGGAGGAGCCTGAGTGACAGTAATGTCGGATAACCAGAAGATGGCAGTGTTGATGCACAGTAGCAACGATCTAAGCAGGATTTTCATCAGTTTTTCTCTCCCTCTGTTTTATCAGAACATACACTTACTTTGGTTTTCCATGTTACTTTTGCAGTATTGACTGCTCCCAACTTGCATCCATACTTCAAACTATACGTTAATATTGATCCAAGTGGACCTTAAATGATACTGTTGTTGTGCAATGCTTAGAAGTCCATCCTTATGAGGATGAAAACACACTCCCAAATGGTTGCCAGCATTAAGACTTGAGGTGAGAAAATTCACATGATTGAATCTATTTGAATCAATTGGAGAATGACTCAATAGCGTTTTTTGTCTGTACCAAAATTAATCAAAGCATGTCTGCGTCCACCATTAACTTAATACAGTGCTTTAAATCTAACAGTCAAAATACAGAACTTAAAAAAAAAAAAAAAAAACTTTAAAAAGAGAAATTTTCTCTGAACATGTGCGCTGTGCTTAAGTGTCTTCAGTCATTTCCCACTGCGAAATAAATAATACCAGCTTAAGAAAAAAAAGAAAAAAATTGGCAACCTGACGAGATCCAGCTAATTTTAAGATTACATCCTGTTATACACTGACTAATTCACAGGTTGCTCACTTGGGTCTGCATGTCAAGACTCAAAAAATACTAATTCCACAGTGCTGGTAAGAGCAGGAAGAGCTTTAAAACTACTGACCAGCTTAAATGCACAGTCGACAGCTCAAAGATGTGGCCAACTGCTCTTGGAAAAACAAAATTAGAGCACTAGGGCTGCTCAAATCACACTCCATCCACACCCATCCAGCATAACTTCTTTGTTAAACTGCTCTGTGCAGTAGGCACGAGTCTGAAGGCTCGGAGGTTAACAAAATCTGTGGTGAAGGTCACATTAAATATGTTTTTGTAGAAGCATGCGTGTTTCTAGGTCTCTTCCTCCCACAGGCACAGCTGTTTGTGCGGTACGTAGTAAGTAAATTGGTAGCCTTTGCTGCAGCTTTTGATGCCACATTTATATGGGCTGCCCCTGCCGGAGACGTCCCTGTTGCGACAGTACTTCAGCAGGCAGGGGTACCATTCCAGTCTGAGGTTGTAGCTACAGGAGCAAGGCTGCCACAGGTCCTTCACTGTCCCGCAGCTCTGCAGACCTGGCACCTCCACTGCTTGAGGCTCGAACATGGAACCCTCGGCGCCTGAAAAAACATTTATTATAGTTAATGATCAAACTATGTAGGTCAATGAGGTGCTGCAGTGATGTGTTCCAGCTCAAACAGTAATGCATCTGTACTAGGTCTAACTACATTCAATTAGATTTACTACAGATCCTTCTCCCCAAAATTTTCACATTTGATGTGTAAAAGGGTTTGATGTTAAACCCTTTATATGTTTATATATGGCATATCTCTGATGATTAAACATGATACTAAATACTAAAACATGTAGACAAATTATGTTTATAGGCATATATATATATATATATATATATATATATATATATACACACACACACACATATACATACATATGTTTGTATAAATATATATATATATATATATATATATATATATACTGTATATAGTACATACATATATACAAGATAACTTAAATATAAATATTTTACTAAAACATGTAGACAATGAAATTATATTTATAGGCATATATATATATATATATGCACACATTACATACATATGCATATATATACACACAACAAATATGTATATATATATAATATATATATATATATATACACACACACACAGTACATACATACATACAAGATAACTTGGGTTATATCCTTTGCTGGCAATACAATGTATTCTATTGAATACAATTCTATTGAATTTTAATCAATAGAAATGCTTTAAAGATTGTAAATTCAATAACTTTATGGTAATATTTGGGCTAATTTCAACATTTACTAATACCTTAGTAAAATTGAAAAGTAAAATAAAGTAAAACTGTACCCGTGTAAAAGTTTACAAGCTAACATGAACTAACAATGAACAGTTGTATTTTTATTAATTAACATTAAGATTAATTTAAACTGTAACAAATGTTTTGTTTATAGTGAGTGAATTATTATTAGTTAATGCATTGGCTAATATTAAAGGAGAACTCCGGCGCAAAATGAACCTCGGGTGTAATAACACATTGGTACAGACTAAATCGTTCCCTGAGATTTGTTTTCATGATAATCGAATATAAAGAGTTTTATCTCTAAGGCTGTTTTCCAAGATGGCTGCTGTCTGTATGCGCTAACTGTACTGTCTGTGTAAAGTATCTTCTTATTAAACTGTCTATACACTTACAAAGTTCTCAATGGTTCGGTTTGCATGTAAGGACACTCATTATGCTGCCGTGTTAGTGTGGGGCTATTTTGAGCCTTGTTAATGGTATTAACTAGCGATCTCTTTTTGCTTACTCGATGCCCAATATACTAGCGTTATAAGCTAAACTGTTTTTAGAGATAAAACTCTTTACATTCGATTATCATGAAAACAAATCTCAGGGAACGATTTAGTCTGGACCAATGTGTTATTACACCCGAGGTTCATTTTGCACCGGAGTTGTCCTTTAAGTAATCGGACCTTATTGTAAAGTGTTACCATACATTTTTGTTTGATCAATAATATATATATAATTATTATTTGCCATATTTTGCCTAAAGGTACAATATGCAGTTCAAGCAAAATGGATTTTGCTGACTATTTTTTAATACATTAGATTAGGCATTAGAGGGTTAATATGTGAAGAACACAATGTCAGCGTTATATTTAATCGTGCTGGGTTTGGTAGGGTGTAATTAAGGGACGCTGTAAGCATGCTTGCCTCTGTCCAGCCAGTGTCTGACATCAGCCTCGCGCGTGTACACGGCCTCCCGGGCCACGCTGCACATGTTGTGGATGTGGGCACTCAGTTGCCACGTCCGTGTCAAATTGACCGCTACGTTCATGCTCAGCATCTCCGTGCTTCTCTTCTCTTCCGCTGTGCGGATGGCCTGGGGATTTTTCTGCAAAATATAAAAAGACTTTTAGTATTACTACTGTCATTCTTTAAAGCTAGATGTTTCCAGTCTTTTATCACACCTTTCATTAATTTTCACACATTTATGACCTTGGACACCCTCCTAGGAGCAACTCATCAAAGGCCTTTTACAGCCTTTTTCCTCTGAGATCTCAAATTTAAAATATCACACTCCTACGCAACAGTTAACCCATGAGCTCAACTCTTAACACCCCGGATCCGCTCCCTCACTCCCAATGACTTCTCCCTGCCCCGTCATCAGCCACAGAGGAAGCCTGACCTGTCGCAGTCTGGCCATGGACTCGCTGGGGATGATCTCATTGTGGTTGAGCCGTGTGATGAAGCAGAGCGCCTGGTATTGGCTCTGCCCTCTCTCCAGTTCCCCCAGGATCAGCGCCCGGAAGATCTTCACATCCTGAGAAGAAACACATGCAGTCATCATTAAATTGTGCAACTCCTTACCTTAAGAAATGTGTTATATAATAACTACAAATACTGAAGTCTTTGAGTTGGAGTATGGCATCAAATACAAGGGCTGCACGATTAATCATATAAATTGTGATCAGGATTTCTGCTTCTCTCGATTATTTAAGCATAATTATCTGTGTTATTTGTGATAGATCCAAACATGAATCTCGACAATATTGTTTGTGATTGTGGTTGCTGAATAAATGCACTTACTCGACCTCTGTGCTACAATACAAATATTAAATATTTTAATATTAAAAACATTGACATTATTTGGAATTATTGTAATTAACATTAGGAATTTCATTGTTTTAGCTTTCATAATGTAGAGAGATAAGGTGCAATAACCTTGCATATGGGTATTAATTTGTTCTTACAGGAAAGTGCAACTATTCTATTAGAGATGCACCGATGTATCTGCCACTAATTGGTATCAGCCATTAAAAGCAAGTATTTTCACTATTGGCCATCGGCCGATTGTTTAAAAACAGCCGACTATGAGCCGAACTCTGAGTGGCAAGTAAATGCAATAACACATTAACAGTTAAAAAAATAGCGCGGTTAAAGCAGGCTCTATTTGACCCTATGAATCACCCGTAGTTCAAGCCAGGATTGCCAGTTCCACGGTTTTTCCCCAAATCAAACATTATTTGTAACGCACCTCCCATCCAATAAATCACAAACAGCTTTGTGCTTTTTTACTTGTTCTGATAAGAAACAAAGTCTCAGCTTTCAAATTCTGTCCATTTTATCACGAAATTCAAACAATAAATAGCGTTTTGACACTCTTAAATGTGACGTGACAGATCACTGTAGCGCCTCAGTCTTTTCCTTCACTTTAATACAAGTTATAGCACAAAAGAACATGCATGAACATCAAAAGGTATGTTGAAAAATATAATACAACTTACTGAAAAGAGTCATGTCGCATGTAATCACTCAATCAGTGTTTCAACCATGAAAAGACGTCAATAAAACAGCTTGTGAACACGGTCACTTAACGTTGCATTTGCCTCAGGAAAGTTATCCAATGTTCACAGTTCGTCAGTTAGCTATAAAAAAAAACACTAGAGATGAGTTTAGTTACTGTTAATTATATATGCATGTTTGAATAAAGTGTTTATGAAAACTACCTTATATGCAAATGAGTTGCATTCAAACATAGTATAATTATTACATCTGAAAATAAATAGCAGTTAATATAATAGTTTGGCCTCTTTATAATAACTTTAACCTCTAGTAATCTACCAAATGAGAGGGCTCCCTGTTTAGTTTGCAGAATTATTTTAGAGAGATTTTTTTTGTCCTTTAGAGAATGAAATTATCAGCAGATAGCCTATTCTGTATAATCAGCTATCCAATCGGCGGAGAAAATTTAGTATCGGTGCATCTATAAAAAAATTAAAAAAAATCTCAAATGAAAACAATTGTGATTAATCGCGATTACAATTTTTTAAACAAAATAATTGGGATTATTAGTTTAAAGTCACCACAAAATCAAAATTGACAATTCTTATTTTTTATGGAATACTGCAGAGTTTATTATAAACAATTTATCCATGCACACATAATTATTTTTAAAAAAAATCACGTGCCCTTGTAATCTTTAATCAAACTTCCCCTCCCTCTTGCAGCAACATCTCTTCTCTTCTAACAACCTGTCACTCATGAGATCCCAGCAATAGCAACCACAACCATCCATACATTTTTTATTGTCCAAGAAGCCGTTTCCCTTGGATATACATAACAATAGGGAAAAAAAGATTATTGCATCTTCCGCTTCATGCCGACTGTAACCATATTGTGCATCCCTATCGAATACCTATCGATTTTATTCATTTTGGCTCCTAAATTCTAGCTTTTTAGCATTTAAAAAGTCAGCTGTCGACCTTTTATAGTGATAGAACAGCCCAGAACAACAGAGAGAGACACTGTATATTTCAGCACATCACTGAGTTGCTGTTAGCAACCAGACCAAATATCTGGCAGCGCCCCCGTGCTCATAAAGTCTTCCATGTAAAGGCATTATGGGAAACCCCAGAGCGGAGAGCAAGGCCACAGACCTGTGTACCCATTCATCAGCTTCTCCTTGCTCTGGCATCCTCATGACTCTGCCAGCAGAAGACACACACATTCTCCTTACTCCCCCCTCCTCTTGTTTTTCACAGTAAGGCCTCGAGCACCAAGCCGACAGAAGGGAGCAAGCTTTCAGGGTTTCATTCGCAAAGTAGGAGGTTTTCTCAGGCAATCAAAATAAACAAGCCAAAGCTGTCTTTGTTTGTTCTGGAGCTCTCATCTCATCCTCTTTCTAGAACCTTCCATCTGGTTTCCAGAGTTGGTCAACCCCCAAACTCATGGAGCTGCAGTCTCACTGAGCCTGTGGAAAATTCATTCACATTCCAAGAATCATTCACCTCCTCTAATATTCTATTTGAATGACAATGCGCTTTTATTTGTATAGTTTTCCCTGAGGAGGTAAATTCAGCTCCGCAGACAAACTTTGGCCTTGTCCACTCTATACTTTTTCGTTTGAAAACCCATCTTTTTCTCTTCGTTTTGGCCTTACGTCCACACAGAGACGTATTTTTGAAGAATCTCTCCCAAGTGGATAAATATGAAGTTGTAGTGAAGACGTAAGCTTCCAAAAACGATGACACGTTTAGTCGTGATGCATATTGTACCGATAGATATCTGTTTATACCCAATATTGTGCCTGTTATGTGCTATTCACTTTCACACTGTTGCTAAAGATATATTACTTTGTACACTCTTCATATCACAGTCCTGCAAAGCTGAAAATTGTACTCGCAATTGCTGTCCTGCGGCAAAACATGAGAGCAGTTGCATTTTAGACCAAACATATAATGGTGATTAAGTGCGACCTAAGCACATGTGTAAAGTTAGATATTTTGCTAAATAAAATAATCCTGCCATTAGAATAGCATAAGAACTTGATTATGTCAGTTCCATCTGTATCATCTCAGTGAGCTTTTATGAGGTTTTACACATGAGCAGTAAAGGTGAATTTAGCGTTTTATGACATTTCAGTGTGAATAAGAAACTTTTGAAACGCTTGAAAACGAGTGTGGACTGAGTGTTTTGAAACTAAAATGCCATGTTCAAATGCCTTTGTAATTTCTTTCCAATCCAAATAAAATATGTTTGTTTTTCTTGCATAAACTTGGTAATAATTTGATTACCTGTTGTTTAGACTAGAAGTGCCATTTAAAAATACATCAATTATCAATATATGTAAATATTGTACAAATATTTCACAATATTACTGTTTTCACTATTTTTTTATCAAAGCAAATATTTGAGCATGAGACATTTTTAAAAAACATTTTAAAAAAATCGGTAGTGTATTTTCATTTATTTTTCCCTTTATCAAATCTTTAATATGGATTAAAGGGGTCATATAATTCCATTTTCATACAAGTTAATTTGATTCTTTAGGGTCTAAATGAAAAGTTTGAAATATACTTTAATTAAAAAAGCTTCGCTCACTATCTTTGTATGTAACGTTACTGGCAGGGTAACGTTAGAGTAACTTAGTGAGATGTACGAACGCTATGTGTTTACTGATGTAGGCTATACATACTCAGTTTGTAATAACACAATAACCATACCGCGTTGTTCATTATAAACGTAGGATTATGAATTATATTGAGAACGTCGTACATAGAAAACATGCCGTAATGTTCCCTGAGTGTAAACCTTAGCGGCATTCATCGTGAAGCGGTTTGCAAAGATTAATATAAAGATTAATAAAACTTTACACTCACTTCTTCTGGAGGTGCAGCAGGGACATGAATAGTACCGATTCTTTTTTCATGAGCAGCTACTTAGCAAAACCAGCTTTATACTGACCCTCGTTTATAAAGCAGTCTGCTGAGAAATGATTCGCGCAAACATGAAAGCATTGACGTTGCTCGTGGGGAATATTCCCTTCGAAAACAAAACTCAGCCACTGTGTCTTCAGCGGTTCGGATTATCAAAATGACTGCTGTGTTCGTATTACACCCAAGAACAGAACACCACAACCGCTTAGACGCTTAGATTCTGCTCCAGCGTATCAACAATGACGGACTATGATGACAGCTCGCTCAGGGCGGGTCTGTGTTGAAACGCTGCTGTCAATCAACAATCGTGGGCGGGGCGTCCGGCCGTGTGACGTCACACGGTCGAACGATTTGAGGCAGGGAAAAACATATAAGGAGATTAAAACAAAAAAACTGGATAGATTTTTATCATTATGTGTATAGGCACTGCCAACACACATTTCAGTACAATCAACTTGAAAAAGTGTACCATTATATGACCCCTTTAAGACTTTTCTAGGAAAAGAAACATTAAGTACTTACTAGCATCTCTTATTTATGTTCACAATAGACATTACATTACATGAACTCAAAAATGTAACTCAAACCTATATTGCGAAGAACTGTTCTGCATGGAAGTTCTTCAAAGGACGAAGCAGCAGGAACGTAATTAAACTGACGGAGGAGGCAGACCTGGTGGAATTACCGCATGGGTGACAAAACAATCAGCAAACACAAGAGGGGGGGAGTGAGCAGGCAGTTGTTATTTTAAGCTCTGGCACTAGAAGGACCTCCCAGCCGTCAGAAAGGCGGTTTGCTTTAAGGAACAGAGAGAGGGGTTTGTGGGGGACTGCTTTAGGCACTCAATTTAATTACAGGGAAGTGTTGGCGTCACTGCTTTGCAAACACCTTGATGACAACAGGGAGAAACCCTGCAAGCTGACACTGCACAGGTAAACCACTCACATCCGCTGATGCAAGCTGACCTGATATCAGTAGCTCAATCATTGATTTCTCTTTACAACTATCCTTTATCTTCATTGCTCTGCAATTTCCTCTTATCTGAGGCGAATATCTCTTTCGCTTTCCTCCAGGGTCCTGTTACAATTCTCTGTTTGACCCCCTC